ATATCTATATACACACAAACTTCATGTATTTTCTTTCAACTGTAATTTTTTAGAAGTTTACCGTCAACTCCTCATAATGTAAATCCTTTTACAAAAGTCGTCAAATGCAACAGCTGGCTACATATGTAAACTTTTGTGTAAGAAAACAATGGTCAATTAAATTTTGTAATGATTATTTTCAAGATGTCTTTATGTGAACACTGTGTGCTGCGTATGTAAGAAATATTGTTATAAATGTTCAAGCCATCATCAACATTAAAAATAAGCACTCCTTCCTATATCTTTTCTTTAACAGGGTAAAAAGTTACTCGATAACATCAAGAAAACCTTTGTGTCGGATAAGCAATGCGTTTTATACAATCACAGTTCATTTACTAATCAGTTACAATGTTTAACTCTAAACGAGTATCATCAAATGATGCATGGAAGAAATGAAGAACTCGTCTTTGGAAGCTACAATAGCATTTCATTTTGTTTGGCCTTAAAAAAAAAAGATATATACATAATAAACATACACTTGTAAAAGTACAAAAGTCTGCTCATAAATGCTAACAGTGCAAAATCTTACAAGTCACCCTAATTAAACAGGTTTATTATTATTTAATAAATAATTTAAATTTCTTTTTGACTGTTTGTATTTCAGTACTTCAGCTGATGGCTATATGGATATTTCATTGAGCTAAGATAACCAGTAACCACGAATTACGTTTGTCAATACAGCTGGATTATTTTTTTTTACTTGGCTAATACAAAAATGCAAGGTTTGATCCCTGTGGCAGACAGCCCAAAGCTTACTGTGCAACTTTGAACTAAAATAAAAACTCACTCTATATTATACTATATTTCTGAAACAATTGGTAAATTTAAAGATGTTGTTTAATGCCTGTTCGTCTTATTAAAATGTTTACAATATTTCTAAGAATATCACTTAGCATTTTGGAAGAATTAACTTTTAACTATTAGGGTGACATCTTCAGAATTTTTGCAGAAGCTACACAAAGAGATATCTGCACATAATAATCACTAATTTTGAAATGACAGATTAGAGGGAAGACAACTAGTCAACACCACCCACAGCCCGCTCTTGTTTGACCAAATATTGGCTCTCGCACTTGTATTGTACTTCAGAACCCAAAGTGCAAAAGACATTTTTGTGGCAATGAGCCAGAAACCAAGATTCCTTAAAGTTCGAGCATGCTAACTACTATGCCACTTACTACGTCGTTAATAACTACATTTCTTATTTTAATGTTTTTTTTACATTCTCTTACATTAATATATAGTTTTGTAAACCAATTACTTTTATAAATATGTATATATATACTTTGGGATTTGTATGACCTTACCATAGTATTTATTTGTGCACAAAAAAAAAATCACCTATAGCTGCAGAAAGACCTGGGGATCACACTTTTGCACCAAAATTACTGAGATGTAGCAATAAGAAAACCAAAATAGTCCAACAAGAGTGCAAAAACTCGTCTGTTTGGAACATTCAATGAGGTCCTGCTCCGTTTATGTAATCTAAAGAAAATAAAAAATAAGTCATCAAATTTATGACAAAAATTTGAACCCGGTATTAACATAACACATTTAACGTGGGTCTTATAGACGTGGGTCTGTTTGGAACATTCAATGAGGTCCTGCTCCGCTTATGTAATCTAAAGAAAATAAGTCATCAAATTTATGACAAAAATTTGAACCCGGTATTAACATAACACATTTAACGTGGGTCTGTTTGGAATATTCAATGAGGTCCTGCTCTGCTTATGTAATCTAAAGAAAATAAAAAATAAGTCATCAAATTTATGACAAAAATTTGAACCCGGTATTAACATAACACATTTAACGTGGGTCTTATAGACTTCGTTTACTGAAGTTATTTTAGACAAAAAATATCACCCTATTAGTTAAAAGTTAAGGTCATCATTTTTGATTTGGTAACGGAATATGACAAGAGTAGATAACATGACTGACCAGTAGAACCCATGTTTATTAACTTCTATATCTTGTTTGGCCTTTCACTATGCATTTCTTCTAATTTACTGAAGTTAACTCATTGCCTTTTAGTTTAAGCCTGTTCTGGGTTTCCTCCCTTAAACACAAATTTGTCATATCTGGATGAAGCCATTCATATCTGAGGGGATATATGGCTAACCAACCAATCTTTAAACCTTGGAACTGAATGTAAGTAAACTTCTGGGCAGAGGTTTTGGACTATGCAGAATCAGCTCATGAGATTGTGTGTTGAAGGTTAAGAATACCTGAATAGGAAGCAATTACTTAATATATCATGTTTTTATCTTTACTTAATCATGGGGTTGAGTAGTTTTGTTTTGTTAATTTTTATTGTAAAAAAAGATCTGCTCTCAAATAGCCCTAATTATATGGTTGAAAGAAAATTAATGGGGTTTTGTCACAATTCAATCAGGCAACATCAAAATTTAGCGGGAGAAGAATAAGAGGGTATTAAGCTCAGTTGCCGTTTTCTGACTCACAGGTAAAACTGAGTTGCCATCAATCGCAATAAAATGGTAATTATCGTCACTCGCATAGAGTTATAGTTATACATGTGCGACTAACGGATATTTCCGTCATTTGCAGCTGAGCCATAGAACTTCAATGACGGAAATATCCGTCATCCGCAGTTAATGGGTTAATAATCATTAGTCACCTCTTTTCCTACCAAGTATAACTGAAGAACGACTTAATGCAGCACGTAAAAGCTTTGACACACAATATAGTTCAGCATTTGTTTTTAAAAGTTTGTCTTCAAACAGTGGATAATCGTGTATTCAGACAAAAAGAGAATAAATACACATTTTATCTTCTTCAAAATGCTTTGCAAGGTGCAGTTCTATCATAGTTTCTAATCAAGTTAACACTGATTTTAACAGTCTACTAATCGATCCATCAAACACTTAACCGAAACATGTTTATGTACTGATTTAGCTAAACATAACTATTCACTAAAAATTAAATCACACAATTTCGTTTACTCGTGTGTATTATACAAGCTAAGACTAACAAGAATTGTACATTTTTACCCTAATTAGCAAGCTTAAGACGATTGTGACCCCTTAATAAGAAAATTATAATTTAATATCCATGATAATTTTTGTATAATTACAAACTTAAAAGATAATTCTATAATGTAGAACTTTAACAAATAAATAACTTGCACTGGTTTCATGCTGGTGTAATGGAAGTTCATGTTGTATTTTTATTATCAAACTAAAATTGAGGAAATGTCAGGACCCAAAACTATCAAATATTATTCAAGAACTTACAAAACGTATATGTAAAATTGCGATTAAAACCTAAAAATATTTTTGAATACTTGACTGAGTTTTTTTTTTTAATTTACATATGTTGTCTGACTTGGTTTACTTTGCAGGCTTGGCTTAAATATAAACAAATTTAATTGAAATGCATATACATGTTAATATATTACATCATTATTTGGATTTTAATTATTCCGTTGAAGAAAACAATGTAACATCTTTAAAAAAAAGTTCCATAAGAGCACTATCAGACATGACTTATAACAGAAAGAAGAATATTTATCAACGGTTGGACACATTAATGAATCTTGGTTTGCAGGATGGACATTAAGAGGAATAACACAAGGTATGCCAAAAACAAACTCAATAATTTGAGTTTTCAAGCATTCACATCCCAAATAAGGAGACCCAGCCATTGCAAATACGTGAAAGCAAAACTGTGTGTATCATTACCTTTCTCAAAGCCAAGAACATGAACAAGCCTTGCGAACAGTGAACTAGCTGAGAAAAAATCTTGTACAACTTCCTTCCTATTTAAATATGATCTTACCAAGACCCACACATAACATTGGACAAACAAATTGTTATTAAAAAGGTGTATCTCTGTACATGTTAAAAGGTGTGACTATGTTTCCTCATAGTACGATAGAACGACAAATTTAATTGGGACTTACTAAAGTTCTATGGTCTAGTTCTATACTTTACTTAACTATAACTGGACTGTCTAGATCAGATTGACCCAGTTATTTAAATTATGGGACATAAAGCAGAATAAGGTGTCAACACATTATTTAAAAAGTTTTTAGGCAAAGCAGTGAAAAAGGGTGTTCTTAATAAATTCAACTAAGGAATGTAGTCAATCCTCTGAAAGTATTCATGGATGTGACTAACATTCATTTCAGCTTCCCAAACTAGTTAAAACAACAAATGAAAATAGGTGTTTCAGATGGCAGATCACTTGGTTATTCTTAGCCTCTTCATGTTGTCATGAAACTGTAAATATTGATGCCACAAAATAGAAACTTCTGGATAACCTGTGTTACTTAGCCAAAGTATTTTTGGTATACAACAAGGAGTATATAATGTTATAAAACAAAAACCTGTAATGATTAAAATGTGCTATCTCATCACTTGGGTATCTCACTGTTTATCTATATTTCTGATGCATCTTCTTTGCAACATTCATGAAAAATGACAGAATACACACCAATCTTTGGCAAGTTGTAAACACATATTTTAACCTATTACATCTTTAACGAGTGTTTTTTTTTCCATTAGCCAACCCCTACTCTTTTCATAAAGAAACATTTGTAAGCCAACAAAATGTGTACAATGTCATCTTAGAGAGGAATGGAACCGAGGGGCCTTATCGAGACTAACGATCTGCTTCTAAAAAGTTAGCCCATGAACTGGACAATGGCATTGTACCACTTCCAGCTAAACTTTGCTTTCAGTGTCGAAAGTAAGTAGTTAAAATATTTTAGTTATTGTTTTCTCTATTTATTTCAGGTAAAGAGCATGACTGGCTGAGGGTGTTTTCTAAAAGCTTGGAATTTTTTTTTTTTGTTGATGCTCTTGTGGTCATTTATAGCACATAATATTTTCTTTTATCACCAGTCTACTTAATAATTATGATGTCCCTGTCATGTAAAGATTAGTCAAAGTTTTACTTTTAAAAGAAGAAATTAGTTATATATTGTTGTGTTCAAACACAACAATAAGTTTTAAAGAGATGCAACCCTCCTTCTCTAAATCGTGGTCTTTTACTTGAGCCTAAAACAATAATCATACTGTAAAATGATGAAATTTATGACAAGTAAGGAAAAATATAACAGCACTGTTCATATTATATATCAAAGCAGAAGAAAGAATCACAATTTTTCATATATATATAAGCATCCTATTTAATTTTCTAACTCATTTTTTAATGATTTCATTTAGTATTTACCAGTTTAGCCTAAACCATTAGTTTGTTTGTTTGTTTTGAATTTCGCGCAAAGCTACACGAGGGCTATCTGCGCTAGCCATCCCTAATTTAGCAGTGTAAGACTAGAGGGAAGGCAGCTAGTCATCACCACCCACCGTCAACTCTTGGGCTACTCTTTTACCAACGAATAGTGGGATTGACCGTCACATTATAACACCCCCACGGCTGAAAGGGCGAGCATGTTTGGTGGGATGGGGATGCGAACCCGCGACCCGCAGATTGCGAGTCGAGCGTCCTAATCACCTGGCCATGCCGGGCCTAAACCATTAGTAAGAAGATGACTGAAAGAAACAAGCAGTACCCTCTCTGTTGAATGCATTTTAAGATTTTTCAATACACACACATGTACAAATGGAATCCTTATAGTTTCTTAAAATGAAAAACTTTATCTATTTTTCTTCTTTTCTTTTTGGTAGATAAAAAATATATTTTATGAACATAATTAGAAATTCAAAACCAGTAAATCTGAATACCTTCAAGCCATTTTAACAGGTTAAAGTTAACCAAAAATAATACAGGAATTATCATTCAATCAATAAAATAATGCTGCTCAATCACCTTCCTGTACTCGTTAAAAAATAATTACTTAAAACTTAAACAATTAGATTCCTTCCTAATCATAAATAGTCCTCATTATAATTTATTATAGTTACAAAAACTGCCGCCAAATGCTTTAAATAGCATTACAAAACAACAACATTGTATAAGGATTAACTTTGTGAGAAAAACAAAACTTCAAAAATAAATAAATAAGTGTCCCTTACACAAACTAGAATATTTGCCCACATTACGCATGGAATTCATTTCACTGGTTTTGAAAGCTGCATGGAAATTAAGTTTCATTTTGGGATACTTACCAAGAAATATACATATTTTTATATTCTAAATTTTTTTTAATTTTCTTGTATTCTGAAATTTCCCAAAATCCATGAATATATTATTAAATGGGCATTAATACAATAGCAAAAGAAACAATGAAATGACCACCAAATTCATATGAATAAGAAAATAAATAAAATAAAATGTATTATCCATTTTCGTGGAAATGAGTTGCAAACCATGAACTCTCAGATTCACAGTCTGGCATGATAACCACTGGGCCGCACAAGGTCTTTACAACAGAGTTTCAGAAGTAGGCACTAAAGTAGTAGCAAAAGGAATATTTGAAATGCCTGTGAAACTCATAAAAAAAAGAAACAGAATATTAATGAAACAAAGGGTTTTAGAATTCTACTGGCCATACCAAAGACTCACTGAAGGTTTCATGGCAAGGTTTCAGTTTGGGAAGCAGTCGTAGTAAGGGAAACAATTGAAATGGCTGTCAAACTCATCAAAATATCAATAAATTAAAGGATTTTTTTTTAATACCTCTGGAGAATACCCAAGAACCCTCTGAAACTTTCACAGATATCAAAGGTAAGGAAGTTTGAAAATTGTTATTGTGGATAAACTGATACCAGCTTCTTTACGATATTGATGAACAAATGATTGGTATTACGTTTTTATTTTGATAAAAATATCCAAGTTAATAGTAAGTGACTAAATAAACGTGGCTACCAAGCAGGAAAACGCTGCCATATCTGATAACTGAGTATCTGAAGATTAAAGATTTATCAATATAAACTTGATTTGTGTTTCATGTTTGGTGCAATCTGCCTTGAGGGCAAAATAACACCTCTGAATTAACAAAATTAAAGAAAATATACTTGTAAGCATTTTTTTCACACATTTTCAACAGAGTTAAAATTTATTAAGTAAAAAAGTTCAATTTATTCAATTTTATAAATAAGATTTTTTTTTATTCTCAAATTTTGATTTTAGGTTGATTTCATCAAGTTCCCAATGAAATCATTAGTGTTTGGCTATTTCCTAATTTTTCTCCATGCATAATATGGTACTCGTAGCCCTCTAGAAGGAAAGTCATAGCAGTTTCGAACAAAATAGCACTAATATGTCCTTGTAACTTAATTACAACTTAAAGTGTAATTTTATCAATAGTTAGCTAATCATTATTTCTCAATACCAGTTGTCATGTTAAGATGTATTCGCTTTTACTTCAGCTTTAAGAATTCATCGGCCACTAATCTAAACATGTCATGCCATGAGAGCTCTTTTTACATTTGTCTGAACTGTAAAAGAAACAACACTTACAGTTTAGTAGCTAAAAGAAAAGGTACTTGTGAACAACTTCCACTACAGTTACAGTCCTTTTTTTTTAAATATCTTGAGAAAAATTTGCTTTATTATTTTATATATTTCATTTGAATTATGATGGAGGAAAAAGAATGTTTTTAGTGAAAAGATGATATAGGCTTAGCTAAATCAATTTGCGCTTGATCCCATCAAGTCATGTTTTGCTAACAAAGCCGTTGTGTTACATTTTGTTTGCATTAGGCCTTACTGACCTAAGTAACTACTTAAACAGGCAAAGAAAATCACTGAAACAGTGTAAAAACAAATATATGAATGAATGTAAAATGGGTTTAAAATTCTTTAAAACTTTTCAAATGTATTAAATGAAACCTTTTGATTAACAACAACAAAAAAGTCAAAGTTATTATTGTTCACCAATTCTTGTAAACACAGTGAAACGACATCCTTTGTTTTTCAAATCAAAACAAAGATAAAATTTACAGTTTTATTAAAATAAAAAATGTATATCAAAGTTTTAAAAAACTGTAGGAAGTCAAAAATCGGTAGTTAAAATGTATGGCTAAGGTAAGCATTATTAATTGTTTCTTGAAAAAACATGTTACAATGAGATTTTTTTAGGTATTTCAAAGCTACAATATCATAAAAACATAAATTAAAAACAAAATGTTTTATTCACTGAAGCTACATAAACAAGTAGAAATATTTCTGAAATTTTAATTATTTAATCAACAATGTGTTTTACACGATACAATTTAACAAACCATAAAACTGTCAAATTGATAACCAAGATCTCAAAGATTTAATATGCTGTAAAACTTCAGAATTGTCTACCTCTGATAGACGTAGGGTACACCTGATTCTAATAATAAGTAAAAACATATGAAAGATTATATATAAACATATTAATTTCCTGCATTCAAAACAAAATTCAGGGAAGTGTGATTGTAAACTGAAGACAACGCAAGTATAATTTATGGATATTTTGGAGTAAGTCATTTTAAATTACCCTAAAACAAGGCTACATGGAAAGTAAGTAGTTGGACTGTCTAAATGACAAGCCGATTAGATAGCTGATCAGGTTATCATCATCTAAAATGAAAAAATATGACACGATTAACAGTTTTTATGTTCCTTAGAGTACCAGACTTACATTGGAGTATCTAATGCTTAGAAATATTTCTAAAACAACACAAAATACGTAATCAAGATCATAAGCTTTTGGCTAGCATTTTCTTTTTGCATGTGGAGAATCATAGCTATTAATAATATTAACTCTTTCCATACAGGTACCATTTTTGCATGTCACAAGGTTTTTCTGAGTTACATTCAAAATTTAATTAAACTACTTTCTTATTGTGGTGTATGAATAAACTTGGCATAAAATTGTAGCTAATAATCCAAATGTTAACAAGTTCTTAATTTTATAAGAAAATATTTTTTTCTAAATCCTCAATCTCCCCTCGTATGAGATTTGTGACATTTACTCTCTAGATCATCTCTCTTCTCTAATTTATTGACCACCCCTCCATTATAACATAGTTATTACTCAAGCAAAGCATAATCTTATTTAGTTACAGAGCCATAAACTAGAAAATTAGACCCCTCTTGACACACCCACCTGTTACACCCTCTCTTTTACAAATTGCTAATATATCTCTCTGACATTTAATACTATGTTATTTATAACAAATAGTTATAATCATATTACATTGTTTTCTGTACAGAAAATTGCCTATTTCACTTCCAGTTCAAACTATATTCCCATGGAAAACAGGCTTAGCCGGATTTTTAACGGCTCTTATCACATAGTAAAGGTAGAAAAATTATGATAGTTATAGGACATTGTCTATATTTTACATGTTATTATTCTGTGTTCTTAGGTGCATTATTTAATTAAATAGAAATTTATTTAATGAAATAGTACCATTAGTATAAAAAACTAGGGTTAAGTTTCATCGATAGTTCACACCAAAAAGAAAGAAGACCCAGGTAAGTACTATATATTTCCTGTTTTTCTGGTGTATTCTTTATTTATTATTAAAGTAGCTAAAATGTAAAAATTAGAAACTTATTAGGTTAAATTTTGTAAAACAAAGAAAAATAATACTAATAATTTTTCATGAGGTATGCTCGTGAGTAGCCCATGCATTACGTAATTCGATAGGGTAATGTGAACTACTCATTCACAAAGTGATTTACAAGTTGCATGGTGTATTATTAGTTATACAGGGTTCAAAGGACGATAAAATTGAAGTAGAAACAGGTGTATACTGTTATGAGCTTCAAGCTACTTAGGATAAACAAATTTTGCTAACCAATAGAAACTGAGGTTCCACTACCATCTACTACAACGTTTTAGTTTCGGTTATGATAGTCTTCTCTTTCAAGCGTTTTGCCTTCTTCCAACTAGCAATCGGAATTTGTAAAACACCTTCTTTGGTAGTTACTTCAAAGTAAGTGATTATCATTCTTAGTACATATACAGAATATCTGTTCAACAAGTTTGGTATTTATTTGTTTGATCAAAATCCAGAGCAGTTGTTTCTGTATCTTAGCACATCATGTATTCCTTCTGAAATCTATGATACACATCACATTCACAGATTATATATATATATATATAATGTAAAAC